TTCAATTACAGCTCGGGTTGTGTCCAATAAAATATATAAGATAAAATAAATAAAAAGTCCAATATATAAATCTCCCTGTATTGGCACACAGCTCAGGGTTCTCAAGTCTATACCAGGCCTCTGTATCAGCACACAGCTCAGAGCCTACTCAAAACTCTATTTCAGGTCTCTGTATCGGCACACAGCTCAGGGTCTAAAATCCCTTTTTTTTTCAATTCTATAGTTACATGTTATTAATGGCAAAGATTAGACCACTATCTAATACTCTATCATGTTTGCACTAAGATCTTGCAAATGACCAGGAAAATGATGAGATTTGTTGCTAAGTATTTATTTAAAGTATGTTTTGATGATATGACAAATTTAACTTTCTTGCAGTTTCAATCATATTAGAATTATTTATTTATTTTTGCTATATAAAGTTTGGCATAGAATTTATTATGCCCAAAACCTTACAATAAACAATAATCAAGAAGTAATCTGTTACATACAATAGGTGAGGAAATTCATTTATAAATTGTTACAGTTGGAACTTGATAAAATAAAATAAAGTATTGTTATAACAGAGTTTTTCTGGTTTACTTATTCATTATAATAATAATAAAAATCAACTTGGTAGGACCAATATTCTTATTGTTTTACTTTAATATTTAAGATAATTAAGGTTGCTTGCTGAAACCTCTTAATGACTGCTGAAACTCTGCTGAAACTCTAATAAACAATTAGTGTGTAACATATTGAAACTCTGCTGATTGATTTCTGGATAAGTTTGACAAGCAACCATAAAGACAATTATTACATATGGTTCCACATATAACTTGATAAGATGAATAACATCAGTTTATTGAAAGAAACTTCACTTTATTTTGTATAATTGTAAATGATTCACATATTGTTTCTATATCAAAAAATGTTAAAATGAAAAATACACTGACATTAAAAGAAAAATAGCATTATTGGTAATTTTATGATATTTAAAAGTCAAATTAAAATTTTTTGAAAAAGTTGCACTTGGAGCTATTTTAAGATACAATGTTTTAATGCATCTTGGGAACTTAGAAAATGTTGTTCCGTTTGTCCTTGAATATATAAATGTGAATGTTCATAATTATTGGTGGAATATTCATAGAGAGTTAATACAAAACACAAAAAAATATAAATAATTTTTTATGCAAGATGATTATCATTACACATGAACAAACTTTAATGGCAATTGCGGCTGAAATACCTAGCCAACCTAGATTTTTTTTTTTAAAAAAAAGATTGAACTTTCAATTTGTTATTTTAATTAAAACATCATGTCTCAACTAACAGACTTTGAATGAGGAAGAATATTTGGACGTTGGGAAGCAGGTGAAAGCACTCATAACATTGCCAGTGCACTCAATCATTCTCAGTCACAAGTAACTCGTGCAATACAAGCATTTAAAGGAGAAGATCAAACTATTATTGCTCCAAGAAGTGGAAGACCTTCAGCCTTAAATGATCATGATGTCAGACAAGTAAAAAAAATTACCAAAAAAAATTGAGATAAGCCTATTGAGCAAATTATTGATTCAGTAAATGAATGTTTGTCCAATTCTGTCTGTAGTGCAACTGTTTGTAATTAACTTCATGAAGAAGGTTATTACAGTCGGGTTGCATTAAGGAAACCTTTTGTTTCAGAAAAAAATCATCAGAAATAAAGACTAGTGCCGTAATCCAAAAAAGGAAAAAGTATGGTTGCAAAAGTGGTCGCAAAGGTAATTGCAACCACTTTTTATATGCCGTAAATACAATTACTATAGTGCAAGTCACTTAGTCGCTGAACTTTTTATTGGCTGTGTAGATCCTATATCCTCTCCAAAAATAGAAATGTATGACCAAAAAAACAAATCATAGAATTAAAGCTAAGACCTTTCTCTACAATTCTATGATTTCATTTTGTTGATATGCCATGTTACCATGGAGGAGTGACACATTAAAGTTCTCAAAGTTTCACGAGTTTACTATGTTAACCCCCAAAAATGACGTGTTACACGCAAATTTTTTATATTAAAAATGAACGAATTGGAAAAATTGAAATTTTCAAAATTTTGTACAGCCGATCTTTAATCACGTGTTAATAATAATAATGAGTGGAAAAACAAGTTTACAAGAGAATGCAATCACTTTAATCAAGATAATAGTCTATTTGAAACATATAAACAGGACAATTGTCCCATATTTTTTGTAACACCAACATAGAAACATTCTCTTGGGCCAGTTTCGAATTAGTTTCAAATCTAAAACTGTCAAATTCAAAATTACAATCAATTGAATTTCTTGCCAAAAATTAACTTTTTATTATTTAGAGATCACAACATCTAAAACTGTCCAAATGCTGAGAAAAAAGGTTCAAATTTCCATAGTTACAATCCCTTATTACTTAAATAAGAGAGTAGCTGTAGCAGTGCTTGATAATGAAAAAAATGAAGATAAATGATGCTGATGAAAAGAAGTAATTGGATTAATCCATTTACTATTTTCTTTATACATAATATTGTTAGTTTCAAGTATTTTTAATATAATGGAATAATTAATATATTTGGATAAAATCTGTATTTGACGATCTTTGAAAGCACGTGATCGTAAAAATTTTATTGCATTTTTGATTATAAATTTTTTTCTCAAAATTGTCATTGTAGCACAAAAAGTTCAGTGACTAAGTGACTTGCACCATATTTATTATTATATATTATTATACAAGTTTAATTGTTACACATATTCACCAATTTGGAAAAAGACTGGTCTTTTTCAGTCCTAAAATTTGGGACCGAGGACCGAGAAGACCGGTCCTTGAACAGTCTTTCTAGGACCGACCCAACCCTATAATGGAGGTAATTTAATATTTATAACTGTGTCTAATGATGAAAACTTACATTGTGGTTCTTTATACTTATCTGATCTATTTGATTATAAATTACTGTTTCACCTAAATTATCATTCACACTTGTAAAAAAGTTCAATAAAATATTGCTTGCTTTCTTTTTCATAAAATCTAACTCTTTTTCTGTGTATGTTACATTGTGAGTATCTATAAATTTTTTTTTTAATTTATTGTTCCCATGTTTTTGATCAAGATTTTTTGCTTGTCTTATAATGTTTTCACTTGAGCTTGATTCATTGGTTTGAAGATGAATTGATGAATGAAAATTTTCCACATAATAGCCATTAAAAAAGTGGAGATTTTGTTCAATAACTTATGCCATAGGGTAATATATACTGGACCAATAAAACACATGACTAAGAAAGGCCAATGGTAATTTGTTGTAATTATTTTGCCCATACTTGAAAAAGAGAACCCAAGCACAAAACATTGCCCTATGCAAAGTTTGCACTGTGAGATTGTAAACCGTGGACCAACCAATTGACCGTTAATATTGACCAATTAGAACGAACTTACTACGGAAGTC